TGTGCATTATACATGTATTCTGTTAATCTTCATTTAGTAGTTATTTATGCCATGAACAACCCAAAAATACACTTTTTATTATTCCACCCATTGACAGCTGGGATTGGCTCCAGCATCATTATTAAAAAATATTACTATAATAAAGTCATTCAACTTAAGAATTTCAGATAATTATGTAAATAAGAACGATGTCTAAACGTAGGTGTTTAAATCACAATAAATAATATATATGTATGTACATATATAATATATATATATGTAGTGTAATATGAACTTGCTCTAATTGTGGCTTCTTAATTCAACTTGTTTCATGTAATTTCTGTAATAATGTAATAATTTCCATTATTACTGTGCCACGATTTCTGCGTGATGTGACACAGTAGATAAAGCACAAGTGTATCATAAAATTAATGGCGGCGTGTTTTATTTGTTTATTCCATTAGCTCACTCTGTGTGATGCATTCTTCCTCACCATCACAGTGTAGCAGCTCACTGGGACAGTGGGGATGAACGAGCCATTGTTTTCTGACAAGTCATAATGCCAGGAAAAAGCCTCCACTCAAAGTGAAAACACTTGTCTCATAATAAAGTGTCGTTGTTCAGCAAGAATTTTTTTGAACCAGTAAAAGCTAAAAACCATTACTCATGTTCATCCGTTGCCGGTAAAAGCTCTTGTTAAAAAACTTGGATGTCTGATGTGATTGTGTATCTTTTTTGGACACCCAAGAGCCACACGACGGTTGGCTGGATAGTCCCCTTTTATTGCAAAAAGAAAATCACTGGTTCAAGCTGCCTCAGTAGTAGATGGTCTTTATGGTGTTTACATGTTATGCTCTCTTTTCTGGGAACACCAGTTTCCTCCCTCAGACTCAGGTATGAGTGAGAGGGCTAGTGTGGCATCATCCACTATACAACAAACTATTGATGTTGTCAACATCCCTCAATCAACAACCCATGAGGGCAACGAGAGACTGAAGTTGACTGTTAGAGTACCAGAGCTGGTACTGCAGGATCCCTAATTTCAAAACTTTAAAAACAATTAACAGAAATGTTGTCACGAGAATTGGAAATTCCAGCATATTTACAACTTGTCAAATGTCTTTAGTTCTGATAAACTGGGAAATCTTGTGATTTGTTTTTATTGTCACTTCTCAGAACAAAGTAGAAACATGCAGTCATGATTTTCAGAATCCTGTCGTCCTACTTTTTCTCTCTGGATCTGTTTTGATTTTCTCACATTTCTGATGTAAACATCTCAACATTCATGCTGATAATTTCTCTGCTACATGCTACCCAGTATCTTTGCCTGCTGTTCAGTCGACTGCATTCAGTAGGAGTATCGCTGCTTGTAGACTGAAAATAGCTGCCGGCTGTGTAACCACACATCAGATGAAAATAACAAGAAACTTTGATGCAGCCATGTTGATCTAACAAAACCGTCTTCAAATGCTACAAATCAATTATTTTCGTGGCACACGTTTCTAAACTGAACATTCAGGAGGATGAAAACAAGGGGAGATTTTCTTCAACTGCTGTTTTCTCATGAAACTGCAATAAACAACAGGGCGAGGACCTCATTTATTCTCTGTTGTGGTCACTGTCGGCGTAAAGGCCACACTGTTAGCTGCCCCCTTCACTGCCTGTTCCAGACTTCTCCTTTGTCTTTTTCAATTCTTTCTCTCCTTCTTTTGTCTTGTCAGGACTTAAGCAAACAGAACCCATGTGGTTATCTTCAAAGTTAGGTGACCGCCAGATAAAGTGATCCAATCAAAGCTTGGATGCTGGGACACAGTACGTCTTCTATACCAACTGGCAGTTTGGAAGAAAACAGAAATAGTTTCTGCAGTCAGTCAACACTGTTCCGATGACAGCAGATCTTTAAATGCTCAGCAGAAAAAACAGGGAAACATTCAGTCCTATATGTGACATATTAAGTGCCCAACAAAGGCACACAAATATGGATTTAGAGACTTAACGATGACTACAATTTAGTTTCCATTTCAGAACAACACAAACACCAATACAACTTTATATCATTCTATAACCTGAAGAATATCTGGAAGAGAAAGAGAGGGGGGGTTGGGGGAGTGAGGCGGGTTGGGAGAGACAAAGGCTGAATACAGACTAATGCAGTCTGGTAATAAGATTTCATCAGGTCAGTGTTAGGGGGTGAAATGCCTTTTCTATAATCCCCTAACATAGAATTGCCTTCTTTCACTTTGCTATTAGTGATGTCAAATAAAAGGGTTTTCTGTAGAGACCTAAACTATTGATCAAGGTCAGGGGCGAACTCCATTATGCCTGAACTGGGACAGATATTAACTTACGATGCCTTCAACCTAAAAGTCGTTCTGTGAGCTGAAGACCAGCAGAGTAGAAGACAAAAGAATTAAGGGCAAAGGAGGCGAAAAGGAGCGAATGCAAATGAATGGCTGGAGAAATGGATGTGCCGTGGCTGTGGAAACAGACTCAGACTGCATCTGGGAGGTAAGGCTTCCCTGAGCCTGCCACAGATATCATTAATCCTCCACTGACCTGGCCTGCCTCCTACAAGGCCCTGCCCAAAGAAGTTTATTATCTCAGAGGAGGCTCTTCAGGCAGCAAGGAAACAGAACTGAGGTCACGTGCTTTCAAAAGGAGTGCAAGGGAATTCCTTTCAAGCATTCCCATGGAATTGGCTTGGATCAGCAGCTGGGCTGGTAGGTGAGGGGTGGGGGGGGGGGGGGGTGGGAAATGTATCCATCACACATGGGCGTTTTAATCCTGAAGGTTTTTCTTTTTGGTCCCCCCTCGCCCCCCGTTGCTAGATCCACGTCACCTGCGACAATGTGTCACAGTGTCCAAGTCGCTCTCATGCTTTATCAGTCACACTGCACACCTGCACGCTCAGCATACTGTGCAATAGATTTGCACTAATCCTCACTTTGTACACAGAGAGCACAGTTTTGTTTTGGATTACTCTGCGCCGGCTGAAGTGAAGGATCAGCACACAAGGGAGTCCTGAGAGTTGAAACAGGATGAATGTTTTTTGTGTTTTAGTCGTACAGAACAAAGGACGCAGGATGTGAACATTTGGTCTATTCTCACACCGTAAGCCTGCTCAGGAAGAAGTACACAAGCAGAGTACTTTGTTTAAAGAAGATTTGTCATTTTTATGGTCTGGGATGTCTGCAAGGCTGCGAAAAACTCAAGATTTCCAAAAACGTGTGTAGAGTTTGTAACATGTTTTAATTATTGATTATCGATTCTTCTTACAATGGAGAAAGTGACAGTGTGAGTCTTTGCCAAACACTTTGGCGGCCACGGGAGGCACCAATTAGCATTTTAGCACAATTGTTTAGTCAAAGATTGGTTATTATAATTATGTTTGTTTATTTATCCCACACTAAATTAATTCATCTGCGTTACAAACCCCAAGGGCACTGTCAAAGGTTCCCAATTCTTTTGGTTACACGTACTGTACTGTACTGTACTGTACTGTACTCAAACCTTGGTATTCGTATCATAGTTTGAGAACAACTACTCTACTTTTTTGTAATCAACTAATGCCAATCTAGAAACAAAAAGTTTAACACAAAGTTAACAGTAACAAGAAGAGTTGAAAATGGTCGAATCTGACAGCTTCAGTGAAGGAGTGGTTTCGTGAACTTGACCAATTGAAGCAAAACAGAGAAAAAACTCCCTGGAGTTTTGGCTAAGAGCACAGCCTCAGAGAAGAAAGGAACAAGGCCAGAATATGAGAAATAAAAACAGCCACACCAAAGTCCAACACGAAGCCTGAGACGAAATGTTAGATTCTCCGAATATTAAACAGATGTTTACGTTGCTTTCGCTTGCTACCAGTTACACAGGCGATCGATTTGAAATGCTTTACACGATAGTCAGAATGAACATGCAAATTTATGCACGAACTCTTTCTTTCTGTAGACATTAAATCAGATCTGTTTGCAATCAGCAAAACTGCTCTGAAGGCATAGTTATTCTCTTTTCTTTTTTTCCCCCCTGGAACTCACTGTAAGAAACCAATCAATTTGTCCATTTCTTCGAAACAGTTCACCTAGATAAAAAGGCCCGAAATGCATTTTCAGCTGAAGCGAGGGAAATCATTTTCTAGCCTTTATATTCTGTCAGAACAGCCTGTGCTGTTGGTAAATAATCATTTGAAAGTGTTTGTGAAAAGTTGCAAAATGTCTTACTGCAAAGACTTGTTTCCATCATCATTTCTGAGCTTTTTTGAGATTTTCCATCACGGACATACTTGATGATTTAATTTTTTAAGACATAAGAAATTGTTTCTTCTTACCCTGCTAAAATAGCTCTACACCTTGTTTCCTCACATTTTCCCCAATTTGAGGATACATTTGAATCAAATATTTAATGTGATTCTCTATTAGAAACAATTATGCCTCACTTAACATTTAAACTGAAGCCTTGAGGAAAAATCTGCAGAGATCATAGAGGGACCACTGAACAGGAAAAGGTTATAAAAATGAATGTGGCTGCAGGTGGAATGTCCCTTTAGTTTGAAACATTTTCAAATTTCACAGAGTGAATAGAAATATCCTGTAGTATTTTTCATACATATATGAATTAGAAATACATGTGATGAAAAGAAAAGTATTATATTTTAACTTCATTTTTATTTATTCTTTCAGCGATCACAAATTATTAATGACTTATTAATGATTAATGATCCACAATCAAATTTATGAAGTGGTGCAGAACCTGTTTGGTACTTTCCTACACTTTTAGCTACCAGTCAGTTAAAAAGTCGACATCAGCTTCAGCAAGTCTGAGAATAACAAACACCTTAGTTTACCTTTGTTTTTAAGAAGCCTCAACCTAAAAAAAAAAGAAAGAAGTGAATAGCTGCAAAAACAGACATTTGCTTCAATCACATCAATCAGTCCATAATTAATCTTACTGATTAGCAGCTTGGATTTTTAGTTACTTTTTTACTTCATGTTTTTTAACACGTGTTTTCCTGTTCTTCGCTGCAGGTTTGGCAGTTCACCAGATCATCACAATCACTGTGTCTCTCATTATGGTTATCGCAGCCTTGATTACAACACTTGTCCTTAAGAACTGGTAGGAAAGATTCCTTTATTCTATGCCCATACACTCACATGAACCGTGCAGTCCTCACACACCTGTGTGAACCACAGAGGTACAAGGTATGATTTTATTTTTGCTTCCTGTCTTTGGTGCGTGTTTTTGTAGCTGTGCACAGTCTGGAAACGGTCGCCATAATAGCCATCAGCGCAAGATCCACCAACAGGAGGAGAGCTGCCAGAACCTGACGGACTTCACTCCGGCTAGGGTGCCCAGCAAAGTGGACATATTCACTGCCTACAATGACAGCCTGCAGTGCTCACACGAGTGCATTCGGACTGCCGTGCCCATCTACACCGACGAGATGATTCAGCAGACGCCCGTCTATAAGAGCGCTTACAATGGAAACAGGTGATGTAACGCAGGGATGCTTGGGGTCAAAGAATCAAATATGAGGGTCAATTATGAAGCCTTGTTTTAAGAGACATTTAATTTAAGTTGGGTTGTCTAGTACAGTATGTTTATAAGCTGTATGTATAGACAGATGTTGGTTTACGTTTTTTTTTTCATATTATTGATCAATAACCAGTAATGCTGCCACGGGCATTAGTGTAAAATTCACATACTCAGTAGTATTGTAGGAAATGCACTGTAAACATTCCTCATTTCTCCCAGTGAAAAGTTTTCAAGTGTAATTTTGTTTTTGTTAATCTGGAAGTAAAAAAAAAAGAATATAATATAATATACTATCAATATATCACTTCCCTGATGAGATCAGGATTTGTCTGCACTTGCACTTCTAATTAAAAATCCAAACATACCTAAACTATTTGTTAAACATAACACCAACAGAGCTCTGAAACAGACTCACGATGCATTTTTGTTATTTCTGCACTCCTAAACTGTACTCTATGTCTCATTTTCAAAGGTTGACGGTGTAAGTTCATGGTTCCCTCCGATTAGACTCTAGTCTTTTGTGAGGTTTAATGTCAGTGTTCATCAAACTCTGTTTTCATTTGTCATCATCCTTACATTTTTCAAATCTCGTCCACTCTGCAGGCCCTCCCCCACTGAACGACAGCTGATTCCTGTGGCCTTTGTGTCGGAGAAATGGTTTGAGATTTCCTGTTGACGAGCTGGCGGCCTTGTTCACTACATGTGGGAATAAGTGGTGACTCACGCTCTGGTGGGTACTGACTGCACCGCCGCAAATCATCATCTGAGCTGTTGCCACCTCCGTTTCTGGTTTTGATGCCGTCCCATTTTGGGAATTCAAGGGCACTTAGCACATCAGTTATTTGGGACTTAAATCTGCCCTTCTTTATTTGATGTGCAGCAAAGTCAGAAATGAGCGTAGGCTCAAGGCAACAGGACCTTGAAATAGTGGACAAAGTCCCAATTAAACTGTTTAATAACTTTTGAATTTTTATTTTTTAGTTGAAGGTATCGTTGTACTGTAAATACCTGAGATACAGTACTTAAAAGGGTAGATATTAAAAGCAATATAAATAAGTGTGAATGTTGGTAAATAAGAAAAAAAGGTTAAATATGAGTGTCCAGAAATAACCAGCTACATGGTTACATACATTTTAAAAACAAAATAAAAGTTTTACCTTAAATCATTTTCCCTTAATTCTCTCGTGTTAATTCTCTACGTGTGTTCAACGGTAAACAGTTTTTTCAACGCTTTATTTGATATGAGACCAAGTATATAAGGTGTATCTTCTATATTCAATAAACTACATGCTGAGCATGTAGTTTATTGAATATAGAAGATACACCTTTACACCATTAATGATTTCTACTTCTCATGCACCTCTCAAACATTTCCATTAATATGTATTTCTCCACCCTCACTGAGGGAATATCGATTTCCAACATTTCCAGGACTAAAAGAATGCTTTCACTTTGACTTGTGACACATTTCCAGGCTCAGTTAAATTATGCCGGAGTGGCCTGCATTTGAAATTCAAAGCGTGAAAGTTAAGCACATGCGTTGGCACTGCAATGTTGCAGGAAGCCCCGAGGGAGGTGTAACGTCTGCTATTGACCCAGATTTTAAAAGGAAAAGATTGCCTGCAGGTAGTGTAGCGAGAGGACAGACACTTCCCATTGTCTGGACACACATTAGTCTGAGGCTGCACTGCTTTAATGGCATGTTCTCACCGCTGCTGTCTTCACAGTCCTGAGATCCCTTGTTATCCCTACAAAACTAATGTACTTGTAAGATTCAGACGTAGCGTGAAGCAGGATCTACAACGTCCACATTGTTAATACATCACAATCCTTTCATCAAAGTGAATAAACACACTGGGACGTGCCTTTTCAGGTCAGATCCGGATTCTAGTTCTCTCCTCCAAACGGTAGAAAGGAGGTTAACACTTAAGAAATACTATCTGTCGTCTTCTTCTACTGAACATCACGTTTGCTTTTTTTTTGTTTTCTTCATCTCCACAGGATCCAGCTAGAAACAAGAAGAGAGCCACAGCGTCGCTTGTAAACTAGTGTGATCACTCCTTGGACACATGTGAAGATTATTTATTTTTCTAGAAATGACAAGTGGTGCAGCCGAACTGCTGCCAAACCCATATTTCCAGGAAGTAGTTTAAATATAGATTACATTAATGGGATGTGACGGGACAGTGGACTGTGGTCATCACAGATGGTATGGAGAGGAAGGAGCTTCTGATCGTTACAGAGGAACTGTATTTATGAACAATGTGCCAATAATGCCACTATGTGCCACAACCTGGATAGAAGGACATTTCAGCAACTGATGGACTACACAAAGAGTGCTATATTAACCCTGTATGGACTCCAAATATATAATTGGTTTTGCTTTGATATTGTTTTTTTTTTTTTATCTGAGAAACACAAACGTCCAAAATTCATAGAAAAGTTATTTAAACATATTCTAAAAAAAGAGTCTGAAAGACATTATATGAAGCACTATTCTATTTATTGGAAAGACGTGAGGTGAAGGTATGCGATTTATTGAACAGTTGTCGGTTTTAAAAACATACTTTATACAGGTCTCATTTTAGGAGCAAAATTGTTGTCTATTTTTTTACATAGTATAGTCTGCCACAGCCCTAACAGTGCGAGTCTGAATCCCTCAAGACTCAACACTGTTAACTGAATACCCACCAACCCAACCTCCACCCTGGCAAAACCATCCAAACCCCTGCTACATTTGCTTTCCGTGCACAGTTTGGAGCCGACTACACACACAAAAGATTGCCGTAATGGAGGCGTGAAGCGTCAGTGAATCACAATGCAGAGAAATGCATGTTACAGAAGGAGGGAATAAGGAAAACCAAACAAACTGCACGGAGCTGGACAGGACATTCACACTTCCTCAGGTCTGTCGAGCTCCTGTGCATTCATCTGATCTGTGTTGATTCAGCCTCTCTGAGCCACCAGTCTACAGGAACACAGTAGATTGAATTTGGAGCTTCACATTTGAATTAGGAGGAGAAAAAAATAATAATCCCTCTAAAAAAACATCTGATCCCCCCACTGGTTCACTTTGGTGGATTATTATAGATTCCCTAAAGTCTGATTTATACATAATTAGAAAGTCAAAAACAGCAAGAAGCATTTTGATCATTAGAGAACATTAAATAGTCCATGATGTGCATGACACGAGCAGGATGGAATTCCTCAGTCAAGGGTTGGTTCTCACTCTTCAGAGCCAGATCCCTTCAGTACCTGAGGACATTACCAGAATATCAGCAGCATATCAGATTTTCAGCTATCACAGCCAGTGCACAAACAGAGGCTTTTGTGCCAAAGCGGAGAGAGAGAAGATACAAAAAAAAACCTGTGAGTTTCTTTTTTATTATTATTATTAGTATTCTTTTGAAACTAAAAACACTCCATCTCCACTTCAGTGCATTGTCAAAGTAAAATGGGATTAAGACAAGCCAGTCAGCTGCTGCCAAATTGGTAAAAGTCAAGATGAGGTGAACTCTGTGGTTAGGAAGGACTGCGAGACTCTCCTGAGAGCTTTTCAAGCACCAGTAATTTCATGATCAACCTCAATTTCCTGAAAAAAAGGATGACATCAAAGCTGAGACGCCACTGAGGAAGCCTCCGCTGAATCTACCTTTTTATTGTGCTGTGGGTTTGTACAAAGCACAAATACAATACTGTAATTGTAAATGGATTCTGGCTGCAGACAGCAATATGTACAGAATATAAAGGGTCGGGTATTTATTTCGTTTCGACGTGAAGTTGGCTTAGGTCGTTCTAATGGAATCCATACAGTAAGCGTGAGCCATTCAGGAGGTGCATTATGGTCCAGAGAAAACACACTGTGGTGCAAAAACTGCAGCTTCTGCCCATTCACAGCATGAAAACCGCTCTCATGAATGAAACGACCCACAAGACGCATACGCCAGGCTACGAAGTCGCTTCTCTGACATCATTTATATTTTTGAATGAAGAGTGATGTATCGCCAGTCCGAGGGTTACAAAACTTTTACTGTATATTATACACGTGTAAATGTATTTTCTATATATTTGCTTCTATTTGTGTACAGGTGTGTTCTATTTTTCAAGGCCTGTCCCATTTCTGGGAGGGTTTACAGCTAGGTCGGGGAATAGTGTCTTTGTTTACATGTGTAACTTACAGTATTTCTTTCAAAAACACAAACTAACCTTGTGCCAAGCTTCCTATCTGCACCTTCAGGCAGTATTTGTATTATATCTTCAGCTAACCAGTATGAAAACCACAGTAGGCACTGCAGTAGAGACTGACATGTGATTCTCAGATGGTGACTGTGTGTGAAAGGAAGAGCCCTGATTGGTTCATTGGAGTGTGTGCTGTGTTGTTGCTGTAGTTGGCTGGGAAACCCAATGTCTTACTTTTCTAAGAACATGTTTTCTGCATCACTTTTCACACACACACCGTTTCATGACATGATTTTAAATTTATGTTTATCCAATAGATGCCAAGAAACCAACTACACACAATCAATATCAAGCTGTAGTAATTTGTCACACTCACCAGGGAGCTAGACGAGCCACAGAAGATACAAATATGACTTTAAGAAATACTGTAAGGACAGAGTTCTTTGGACATTTACGTATTAAACCTACAGAGGTTTGTCTCTTATTGGCTGATTCTGAAATCCTATATTTATTAAATAATATTATAATGCTAGCTGTGGGTAAGGTTAGAGTTCTGGTGTTCTGGGTACTTTGACAAATATAAATGTACCTAACTGTACTTGGGCTCCTTATGTGATTAAAAAAAATAGGATTTCCCCCCAAATATTCCCCAGTCGTATTGATGGATGGAACCTTATCCTACAGCCATAGGTTCCTCGATGTTGTATCCATTATTATAATTATGCCTCGTTTATCAAGCTTTACAACCAGCCAAGAAGAGATGTTCGCTTGGCATTCACCGAAGCCAAACTGTTTCCATTAAACAGCCGGACAAATAAATCTAGAGTAAATGTTTTCATCGTTCATGTGGAGATGAAAATGAGAAGGTTTTTTCCTATTTTTGACAGGACAGCGGTAAGACTGCAAGTCAATGTTTGCAAGAAAGTTGTGAGAACTGCTATGATGTGTGGTTTTCACACCAGCTTTGTAACAGGAGTTTTCAGAAAAGAAATCCCAAATGTATGAAAGGAGGATTAAAAATGCTGGTAGTGGAGTCTGAGGACTAGGTAACGCAGATTATCCAAGGTGGCAAATGTTAAAGAAAACATCAAATATAACAAAGACAAATGGGGAAAAATCCATAAAACAAAGCTCACACCACGGGGGCTGAAAAGTTATAATAATAATAATAATAATAATAATAACTTATTTGTATAGCACATTTCGTACAGTCATGTAGCTCAAAGTGCTTTAACAGTGCTTCAACAGTTTGACAAAGAAGAATGTCATATAGTCACATAGCATCACATGTCCTACAGCAAGACTGAATGATTCTCTATCCTTAAAAATGCTATTATACAACAATGTCCCAACTGTGAATTTAGTAAACAAAATAAAAACCACTATGAATGATAATTCGGGAGAAACGACAAGTAAAAAAAAACGTGAAACAACACACAGCAAGCTCCCCTTATGTATTTAATAATGACTTACAAACACCAGCCAAGTCTCAGATGAAAGTTGTTCATGTTGCACCACCCTGGGAATGACATTTTGAGCATATACAGATACACTACAATACCTTAGAGGTATTGTTCTTAAAATGTTAAAATTCCTGTGCTTTTCAGTCATTATTGTAAATGTGTGAAAGCATTTATGAGGATAAGAGTTGAACAGGACAAGTAAGAACTGAACACAGTTTAGGTTTAATGTGAATTGTTCTCAATAATGACATTTATAAGAAGTTGAGTGGTGTGAACAGGGTCTCGTGGATTTCATTGGATAATTGTGCATCTAGTTTAGCCATGCAGTAAATACACTGACCAGTAATCTAAACAACTCATTTAAACTGTGATTACACTGCTGTAAGTACCAGCTGTAATCATAACATTAAAATTAGCATATATTAGCTATACATTCCTACTGCTATTAAAGCAACATTAGGCACAAACCCAATGAAGAAGTAGAACTACTTTGGTGAAAAATCAAGTTTGACAAACCACAAGCACACAACTGTGAACACTCACACACAGTGTGTTGTGTCTAACCTAATCCTGAAAGAGCGTAAACAACAGAGAAGAATGTGTACAGCAGGGATTTTACTGTCTGCCCCATTTTCTTATTTTCCAGCTGTCAGGCTTCCTGGTTTGGTGTTGTCAAGATTCTAACATTAAATAAAAAAAATCAAAAAAAAAAAAAAATCACAATAATAAATAATAGCAAGATAATTTTAAAATGTTAACACATGACTTAAATTTGACCAAACCAAAATGACCTACTTTTTTATTGGCAGGTCTAAGCGTTAGCTGTGAAGCTGGTGTGAAGCTGTGGTTGTGCCTGATTGATTTGACCAGAAAGGCCATCGTTTGGATTCTGCAGAGGGTATTTGTCCAGATCTTGGCTGGAATGGTTTTTTATTGTAGCTAAATAGAAGAACTGGTCTGCTCAAAAACGTATGATTGAACCAAAAGACTTTTTGACTTTGGACTTTGGACTTTGTAACTGCGAAAAGTTGCCAGTGTTTTAGGTCATTTCACCTGGTGTGCATTGGTAACATTTCTCATTAAGCAGTGTGTGGATTTCATTAAGGCGGACATGCCTCTCATTAGAGTGGACATGCCTTTAGCTGTCAGCTGCCAATTCATCTTGTGTTCCTGAAGGACGTTTGGAGAAAGCAGGACGGAACTCCCAGCTATAAGATATAATTAGAGCATATGTCACGAAGCCGCCGTCTTTCTTTCACCTAAGACAAAATGTCATGACACTTAGTTTTGACTTTCTATAATGGATGGAACACAAGAGCAGTGTTGATGCTAAAAAGGAAAGAAAATGACTCCACCTCATTGGTCGGATTTGATTCAGGGAATATCATGTGTGAGAAGGCAGGAGGAACGCAGAGATCTTGTTTTTGAGTCTTCAACAAACACCAAAGACATGATTTGCCTTTTTTACCAAGTAATGAATATTTTGCGGCTGTCGTTACTGTCTCCTCAGCAAACCAATATCCCAGCGCTCCCTTCAGCATAAACGGGCTATCAATCAGCAAGGCTTTTTCTGTCAAGATGAAGGATGACTCTCTGTGTGCACTCATTTGCCAGGACTGTGATTTCTGTTTACATGTCAAACCTGCGGAGAGGAGCTTATTGACACGTGTGTGTGTTGTTTGAATTAGACGCCAGCTGAACATCTTCAAGGCTATTGTTTGTTTTTCTGTCTCATCCCAGGCATTCAAATGTAGGGAGCAGAGGAATCAGTGTATCGACCCACTTTAATCATGGCCTTCAGGCGCTTGATTAACCTAGAAACATTTTTCACAGCTGGTACTTTTGCTATCGCGGTGGTGACAGTATTATTTTTGAACATCTTCAGCAGGTTGCTCACACTGCAAGGTGAAAACCAACAGGACGGATAAACAAGGTGTCGTGATAATGAAAAGTTTCAACTCAAAAGGAGGGACAGAGTTCATCTTTAGGTTCATGTTGTGAACGGTTCATGTCTTGAAACCATTTTAATTTATGTTTTTACACAAGAGAAGGTGCTGTCACTGTAACAGTGCAGTTGAAAGATATCCTCTGGTCAGTTGACCGTTGGAAAAAAAACTTTGGCCGAGTGCGACGTTGCAAAATGCAAGCCATCAACTTCTACGTCAGGGTGGGATGTATCAGCAGTGACGTGTACGTTGTCTGGGAAAAAGTGGGAGGAGAAGAAAATCCAAAGTGGGCAGCGTCCTCAGGGAGAAGGTTTTATTTTAGATGGTTTTCCACATTCGTTATCCAGATATATATAAATATACAGTATATATAAAAAAATCTTTATCTTGTCACAACAATTCTGTGTCTTAATCTTGTTATTAACTACAGTCAATCACAGGGGTTTCTTTCTCCTGCTGGTGTCAGCTCTTACCTTCAGTTGAATCAGATACAGATCTATTAGAACCACACTGCGCACATAAGCTCCACGACAGCTACAGGTCGTGGCTAACTGTCGACGTGGTTCATCCACTGCTTCAGACCCAAAAAAAGAGTGCTCCAATGGCATTAAATTTGCAGACAGTGCCTCTGGTGTGACGCCTTGATGACAGAGACATGATTGACAGTGGAAAAGTGTGAAATGACTGGCTGTATTCTTAGATCAAGATTAATTTAGATTCAGGAAGGTGGGGGAGAAGAAAGAAAGGGCGACGGAAGAATCGCAGCAGACTTTTTTATTTTATTTATGTTTTTTGGCGAGGTTTAGAGCTTTTCACATGCAAACACACACAACAGTACACGAAATGTAAGTTCACTGACGCTGACCCACAATCACCGTCCACAGCCACCAGGAGGAACCTGACTCAAGTTGTGTTGTCCACATTAAATGAAGAGTTTGTACTTTGTGACTTTAAAACTTTTTATATTTGTGTTAAATATATCAATGATGAGTACCTCTGTTAACTTTTGTATAAGACATATGGATATAATATATACAAATGAACACACACACACACACACACCCATACACACACAAACACAAACACACACCTGAGTAAAAAGGAATCTAGTCTGTCTTTGTGACGGCTAAATGTTGTATAACTTTTATTTTGTGTCCTAATGAACTACATCTCTTCTTTTTGTAGTTATTGGTAAAGGTTTTCGATTTCCAGGTGACTTTGATTTGGTTACTCTTGTACTACTAAGCTCTGTATTTGCAAGCACTGTAAATGCGATTCTCATTGGATTCGTCCTCTGTACATTTAGTACTCTGATGTTGCTATTAATAAAATGTAAAACAACACAGGCGTGTGCTGAAGGGGAATTTGTTAGAAGGAGTCCCGAGGAGAGCGGTGACTGACCAGGGCAAAAGAGCACAAAATAAAACATTTAAATATGACATAATTGTTCCATGTGTTTGTCTCATGTTGTTGGAGCAAATGAGTCGTATGGATGATGAGGCTCGGAGTGAGAGCTGCTCAGCTGCAGGTCTGCTAAAGGCGACGACAAGAACACAGAAATCTGTTCTTTCTCCCTGAGCTGGTTTGGGAATGCTTTGCAACTTTTTCCTGACAAATCACCTGGGCAGAACTGCTTTTTTGGGTGTCTGTCTGCCTCTCTGCTCTTCTGTCTGCCTCTCCTGGGGTAAATTTTTCATCACACTCACCTGTGTCCTTCTCTGATCAGTCTTACTCATCTCACCTGGGTGTATCTCCCTCTCTCCCTCACTCTGTATTTGCCGGGTCCTCGTGTCTCCAGCAGTCTCATCTTCACTGCTGTGTTGTGGATTACCAGGTCTCTTTCCCAGCGCTTTCTTTTGTGTTTTTCTGTGTGTTCTCTCTGTCTGTGTTCCTGCCTGCTCCGTCTTCCCTGAAGTCAAGGTTCAGGTTAGTTATCTTTTTCTTTGCCTTCTAGATTTGAGTTTGGAGTCTCATCTTAAACTATGGTCGAGTTACTGTTATAAAAGACACTGTTGCCTTTAATAAAGAACAAAAGGAAATCTGTTGAACCGTTGCACACCTGAAAAACTGTCCCAAAATAAGCAGTGACATAAGAAGACAAACTGTGTTTCCAGCTGATTCAGGTGTGACGTCTTCTTCATGAATGGTTGTTTGTCTCTGTATTTGTCAATATTCTGTTGAAATTCTCACATGATAAAAGCTCCCCTGTTCTTCTGGACCAATCAGAATGTGCTCTTCAAAACTCCACGTTCAGTCCTCGGGGAGAGCTGCCAGGACGCATTAACATGAGGGCCACATTCACTGACTGTCTGCAGCCTTCACTCCCTGTACATTAAACAGAATTATCTTACACTGCCTGCTTAGGCTTGGGCTCTGATAAATGAGGTGACTGGCACAACAGCCAACAGCTGCCGGTGAGATACTGTAGCATTGAACCTAACACATCGGTACATGCAAACACAGCGACTCTTCTGTCTCTAAAACCTGAGCACAGGGCCAACCATGTACTGTGTATCTGTATACTGTAAAGAGAAAAAGAGGAATTCTTAGTTTCTGTTCCAAACTTTACTGTGATGAAGTTGGACAGTTTACTCACAATCCACATTCTGTACCATAAGATCAGCTGTGGACCACCAACACTGCAGTATTAGCCAGGGAAGCATCCACTTCCTACACTCCAAACTGTGAAGAGCTGTAGACCCAAGAATCAGTCAATCATGACTGCACGTCCTTACTGACAGATGTATTAATTATTCAGTGTAAACGACATTCTTCCCTGTTTTAACACTACACCGACTCAACACAGACACCTCCACTGTAAAATAACCTCAATAATTTATTATAATTCATCATTTTCCTGTCTTTAAAATGACTTGTAACTATAACTGTTTTCCTCACTGGGACAAAGGGATGAATGTATGCTAACAGCATTTCCAGAAACACACAGTGATAAAACCTATTGGGCTCAAAGTCATAAACATCAGGGGTGGTTTCCATCTGTAGACATAGAGACGTACACCCCATCTCACAATAATCACAACATTATTAAATATAGATGGTAACTGAATGAACTTTCCCAAACCTGTTACCAGTCAACATCCTGGTTCAGAAACCTTCAGGTCTATTATCCTCTAAGTCTAACATGGCCGCTGTCCTCAAATTTCTTTGTTGTTGTGGATTTAAAAAAAAACAAAAAAAAACAACAGTTGACAGTTTTGGACAGGAGCACAGAAGTTAACAGAACTGATTTGTAGTGATGTCATCGAGTTAAAATAGCTCCTCATTAGCGCCTCCGGAGCAGGTCGCGTGATTAATCATCACCTAAGATTTACAATCCAATTAAAGGATGTCAGGGTGTGAAATAAATGACTCACTCAGTGTTGAGGCAGGGCATCAATGAGCAGACCCTAAATTTGCCATTTGGGAGCCGTCTCCAGGAAATGATGTTGTTCTGTCAGCTCCGCAGACACCTCGGCCCCCACTCTGCGTGACTAGTCGTTGAGTTGTGGCAAGTTAGTAGATTCACAGTTATTTCTTGACATCAAGACACTTTGTTGAAGACATTTTTGTGTTTATACCCTGCATCTGGTTGGGGCACACTAACGAGTGTGTGCACACTGTATTTGTGATTGCGTTTTCCCTGGAATGACTAATTTAGCAGCAGTCCTGTTCCCACTCTCCAGCAGAGCCTGAAGTTTTAATCCCCACATTTGCATAACTAAACTTAGATCAGCCTGCTCACATCCACGGGATATTAGCTCTAGGAAAAGAATGAATGACTGTTGTGACTGCACTCGAATGTTGATCAAACACTCATTTTGCCCTGTCTCTGCTGCAGTCGTTCAAACACCATTTGACACCGTGACGTCATGCAGGAAAGGATTCACAGCGTTTTGTCTCGTCCTCGTTGGTCTGTGTTCGAACGACTGATTCAGTTCCTTGTGAATGGGCTTTTTCCACAGCATCTCATCCCGAGTTAGGGTAGAGAGCTCACAGATGCGGAACGGATGCAATGAACGCAGACACTCTGGCTGATGGGATAGTTTCATCACACTCCACTTTGGGCTGATCAGCTGGGGTATTTCATCTGTCTGACATTTTCACAGACAAAGACGCAAGAAATGAGAAGACACACGACAATGGAGGTGACGCCAGTTTGGCTGTAGGCACCTGAAGTAAATAAAGTGAAATAAAGAAACTTTTATTAAAAAGAAATCCGTCTTCAAGAGGGAGAAGGGAGGCCTGATAAATTTAGCAGCTCCAGGTCTGGCACAAGACAAGACAAAATAGAGAAACATTGATTTTTTTTTGGTTCTTTTGCAGAAAATACAAACTGAAACACAAAGAAGCCTCTCCATCCCTTCAGTGTAAAAACTATGTATTCATATTAGTTTGTATGCCAACATTTAAATGGCTGCATCTTCCCAATATCTTTTGAATTTCAGTGTGTTGGAAAGATTAAAGACTTCACTTTCAGGATCTGTAAATAACTCAAATGCTCTGCTGGAGATTTCTATTTTAAAACAGTGCACGTTAAGAATGTTTTAAATCGTGATCGCAATTTACATTTTGAGAGAAATGTGTGCTGCACTGAAAAAGTTTGCCGACTTCAAACTGGAGCTGTGTCTCATAGAGTGTGGTCTAATCTTGCCGTTCACTGTTCTGAAGTCCTTGCCACTCTTCATATTCTGCTTTTAGAAAATGGCTGTCCCCAGTCCTGCGTCCTTTTCACAGAACAACATGGAATTTACATGGAATCAGTAATCTCAAATTACCAACAAGAAACCAATCTAATCTCTCTGCTGCAGGGCTATAAAGGAACTGATCAAACTATAAAGGAATGTATATTATGTCAGCAACCCTGACCTAAAAACAGAGAGAGATAAAAGAAACTCAACCCAACAACTTTAGAGGTTTCTGTGCTCTGACTGCTACGGTCATATACAGGGACGCTTCACTTGTTGGGAATCCTCTTTTAACCTAATTTTAGCTTCTCTACCTTCATCATCTTTACACATTTCAACGCAACAGCTCCTCTTCCTCCTTTGATCTCTCTGCTGCTCCGTCATCTCTGTTTCTGAAAGCTCAGAAATAGAGAACCACCTGTAGGGCGACTCAGTCCCGGCGCCAGACAGTTGAAGTCCCTGGACCTTCTCAATGACCAAACTTTCCATGTTTGTACACACATTAATGTGTCTGTTGACAGTGCTATCTCTGGTCTGCGGTTGCAGGTGTTTTTGGGCAACCTTCATCTTGAACATGAGATCCTGGTTCAGTTCCTGCACTTCCGGCAGCTTTAGGTGAAGCTCCTGCATTGTGCTCTCGGCTTTTCTTCCACTCACGAGAAGCTTTTCGATTCTTGCGTGCAGCTGTTCCTTCAGGTCTCTGATTATCTTTTTGTGCACAGACAGACTGGCAAAGGCCTCGTCCCTCCTCTCTTCGGCGTCCCTCAACCTGCTCTTCAGATCAGCTATTTCCTCTCTCTGCTCTGTAATTGTGGGTATCTCATATTTCCTTTTGCCCTGGAGCAAATCGAGGACCGCACTGTGGGTTTCAATCTCAGTTTTGACCTCCGCTCTATCATACGGGTTAGACAAGGTGAAAATCTCCACTTTGGCGGCCCGGAGCTTTTGTTTGACTTCCATTTCCCAGTGTCTCACATAGTCCTGGACCCGGTCGTTGAGGGGTTTTGCGTTTGGTGTTGTCATTTTTCGTCTGTGTTCACACGATTATTGGATTTAATGAATCATTATGACTTCCTTCTTCTCTGGCAGTAGTTTATAGTAGTGGTTGATAAAAGCCACCATAACAATTGGTTAGTAAATATTACTAGCTAAGGGTTGAGTATAGTGTACAAAGAGTTGGTAAGACTGAATAACGGCAGTGCAGAGAGATTCAAAGTTTGATGAGATCACAAAGACCTGTGACATCATAAAAACCTCCTTTAATGACCTTGTTCTCATTGTGGGGCTTTGCAAAGAAATAAAGAAACTGTAGTAAGTGATTAGAAGAAATCAATATTGGAACATTCCGTTGTGTATAATTTAAGAAGCAGAATTGGACTTTATGCTGTGTATTAAAACTTCAGTTGATCAAAGATGCCTGTATTTGACTGTATTTCTGTAGACAGATATAAACAAGCGACATCCATTGTCAAATAAGCTACAAAAGTGAGGCTTCATGGCAACAGATCACCTGTTAAAACTGTGTCTAACGGACGTTTTGAAGACAGACAGCTAACTGAAGTGGCTTAAGCTCTTTTCTTGGCCTAAACTACTTGAAGAATTCCCACTGAACTTTTGCATTTTATTTGTGATATTTACTTGTTATCCAGTGTTGTTTCACATTATAAATATATGAAATGAGAAGTGATAAAAGATGATTAATGATGAGCAAAAGTAGGATAAACAAATAGGTAAAAAAACAAAGGTTGATTTATGGGTTTGGACGTTTATAGTCTCTATTTTTTGTCAAGTAAATCATTGTCTTATTTCGGTTGAATAATTTCCCCCGATAGGAAGGTGTTGTTGTCATTATGCACTGTAGTGCCCGTGATTGGAGAGCAGAGGAATTAACAATCAAATAAACCTGTTGAACGGTTTGTTTGTGCAGGTTAAACCTATTAATTCAGCGGTTTGTGCTCCAGGCGTTGGCTGTGGTCGAACATGTGATGTGACAGCCAGAGGTGTTTTGTCATCTGTTATTTCACGACACACACATACACACACAAACATACCCACACTAAAAAAAATGACAGCTCAAAAGAGCCGTTCTCTTCTGTTCTCACATAAAAGGCACATCAGCGTGAATACTACTGTGACTGTGACAACCTGCCCGTGATGAAGGCAGTGATGCAGAAAAACTGTAAAAAAAAAAAAAAAAATCAAATCCAAAGAGGAAGCTAGCCTGCTGACAGAAACCTACAGCAGTCGGCAGCAACTGATGGGAACACAAGGAAGTTACCTCCTGTGGGTATTTGATTTTTATACTCTCCCAATGTTAAATGTTTATTAAAAGAGTTCAGCGGTGGCAGCGCGGGGGGGGGGGGG